TCCAGTATAAACTATTCTTCTGCAGTATACTTTTAATGGCCATAATAGTTTTAAATGGGGTCTCACTTTTTAAACATTCTCCCCCAAAACAGCATTGTTTTTCTATGTTACTTTCCATATTTGATGTTATTAACAATACTGAGATGCATATTTGATAGTTCAATCTTTGTGCATAGTTTTGATTATTTCCTTAGGCTAAATTCCTGCAAGGAAAATTTCTGTAGGCAAGCTGTAAGAACCCACAAAATGTCATAATATTGTAAAATATGGCTTAGGTCTTCTCAATCACAGCCAAGGTTCAGAGAAGATTGAATCATTTCTAAACCTTTCTGAAATGGTAAATTACCTGAACTACAGATACTTCTGAATCTCCTCAAGAGGAAGCAGCTCTGCTCCCAGGGAAAATTCTGTTTTTCTCGTTGAGTCAATGACCCTCGTCTAATCAATGAGCGCTCTGTAGGTTCTCAAATGGCAATTCCAGACACTTTCTTCTCTACCATTGTCTGGTTGCTGGTCTTAGTAATTATATTCAGGCTTGATATACATAAGTGGGTCCAATGCTTGATGAAAAGTTAGAGTAATTCCTGTGCTTGGTTTCATTATGTGAAAAGATGTTGATGCTCACTTAAATGACTATTTCAGTGACAAAAGATAGGTAAATTCAATAATCATTAATATTATGACTTTTGGAGTATCAAGAAAAAACACGCCTGTTAGTAGGAAAAAAATGGTGAAATGACCAAATCATGATGGAAAAAGAAAAAAAATTAAAGGTTTAAACTAGGTGTAAAAATATTTATATATGCACAACTTATTTTAAAGTACATGTGAAGGTTTTTTGATGGAAATAGTTTTGCATGTATTCATGTTTGCTTATATGTGGACCATACAATGGAGTGTGGGATTGGATTTATAAGTAGAAGTCTGAGGGTATCCAGAGTAAAGACCCTGAGGTTTGGATTGAGATATGGTGCATATTTTCATGTGGATGTAATTTGGAAAGATTTTGTTGTGTTTTGTCGTGCAATACTTCTGAGTTTGGGGCATTTTTCAGCCTGTTTCATGTTAACTTTAGAACCAGTTGACTTCATTTGATGAAATGTAGTATACTAATAAGGAGTATAAAGTTTAACTTGTGGTTCTGTCATCCTGAAACAAAGTGGCATCCAATATATATTTTAACTGAGCTCATCTGCTCTAATTTTAATGGGCTTTAGTGAGATTAGGCAAATGAATAATGATGAAAGAAATGGTGTGGCATGTTCAATAAGATCTGCAGTTAGCAAAACCACTACTTGTCAAATGCTTGTTAACTATAGTCACCACACTTTTTTGGCCAAAGATATGAACCCATGGTCAGAATATTTGAAATTGGCTACGTTTCCTAAGTTGGAAAAATTTTAGTAAATTTCAGATGGTCCTTTACCATCAGCCCTCAAATGAGCTACTTAAAGTTAAATCAAAACTTTAAAAGGGAATAGAATATTTAATAATTCCCCTTTTAATTTTACAGGTAAGGAGGAAACATTATTATATGAAATAGTACATATGAAAAATATAGAGCTACTCATTTATAAATGTTGAGAGATTATTTGCACTCTAAGGCCAACCTTATCTTTTAAAAATGTTGTTTAGTTTGCAAAAGAATATGGACCAGAAAATACAAACCTTTTTATTTTGTGTGTGTGTGTGTGTGTGTGTGTGAAATATTGTATAAATATACTAGTGTCAGTGTGCAAAAAAAAAAAAAAGTTCTGTGTGAAAAAAAGAGGGTAATGTCAGGTGTCAAAGACTACATAAATGGTATATAGGACACAGGATGTCCAAGGATGTACTTTGGGACCCATATTCCCTCTTTGATGCTTCAAAGAGGGGCCCTTTTTCTTTTCATCCTTGATGTCTTTTTGTGGGAGACAGGTAGAAGCCACTTAAACATTTCAGGTAGGAGTTATCTGCTTATCTACCTGAAAAGAGAATTTCAATATTGCTTTCATGTTCTCTTGAGCCCTACTACAATGCAGAATCATTTTGTCTTCTATACATATTCAAGTTTGAAATAATATATACAACAGCAACAACAACATTGGCTAAATATTTATTCTATGTGAGGCACTGTACTTAGCTCTTTATATTATCTTTTCTATTTATTTAAATAACTGTATTTATGATGTCTAACTTATAGATCAGAAGAGATAGGTTTAAGTTTTAAGTAATTATCTAATTTAGTAAGTTGCAGAACTGGGATGTACAAATGCTATAAATCTATACTTGAGACTATATTGGCCAAGCATGTCAGTCCAGACCAAGGGACCCAGAGTCAGACACTCAGTTTCTTAGTTGTACCCTTTAGGATCAGGTCAAAAAGCAAGTTCTATTTTTTATTTCAGAATCCGTATAATACCACATACAAAATATTAGTTTCACTTTCATGAAACTCTTCAAGCAAAGTTATAAAATAAGGCATGATTCAACTCTCTGTGGATGGCTGTTAAAATTAATGATAATTTAATGATAATTTTAAATTAACGATAATTTATACTTGTATGGTGCTTTACAAGGTCAAAGGTTTGGCATAATAGTCATTTGATTTTTTTCATTTTTTTTACTTTTTATTTTGAAATAATAATGAGATCATAGGACAATGCAAAAATGACTAGCTGTTTATTTCTCTTTATAGCATTGCTATTTAAATATAATGATCATATAGACTTGTTTTCAAATAATAGTAGCCCTTCAGATCTGATCTCTGAAATCCCTATCTTGGTATAAATCCTAGCTTCACTATTATGTAGCTGATTGAGCTTGGGAAAATTAACTTCTCTACTTCACAGTTTCCTCAGCACTATGAAAGAAGCAAGTGTCTATACCCTAAAATTATTAGGAGGACTTTAAAAGTCATATACAAACTCAGTAGAAGGTTTAGAATGTGCTGTCAAAAGTAAGCAATACAACAGATATATTATCATAGATATTACTGCTTATTATTATGGATATTGTTACTTCAGCTAGATCTGATGATCTAATTATTTGATTATTCCTTGGAGACTACTTCTGGTTTCATCAACATTTCACTAAACTCTGGGAACTGATATAGTTTACCAGTTCATGGTTTGACCAGTAACAAATATATCTGGGATTTTACTACTACTGGAAGAAGATAAAAAATTATCTGCAGTACACTAAGAGTGGGATCATCCCTTCAGTCATTTGAACACAGGATATTTTTGCGTTCTATTATTCACCTTTTGTTTGATATATTTCCATATTTTCATAGGCATTTTCTTCCCTGTTGAAGAATGGAAATCATATATATTACCAAAAAAAAAAAAAAAAAAAAAAACCTGTCCATAACAGCTGCTTTGAGGTCATCTACATTTGTTGGCTGCAGGTGGAAATCTCCTTCACAGAGCCCTAAATAGAAAGTTGTAAAATCTGGCCTTTAAGGAAGCCAGACTCTACCAGCCTTTTGTATAATCTATCATCCACAGAACATGTTAAGGTGCTTTTGATCTTTGAAGGCAATATCTTTCAAAGTGATGTGTGCTTATATGTGACCATCAGTCCTCTTTTAGGAAGCTCAGCATCATGCTGTTTTCAATGATGAGAGAAGGAATGTGTAAGATGGCACACGGATGATTCAATTTATTGAGAGTTTCTAGATCTTGTGGAAATTCAATGAAGAAGATCAAATTAGAGAAGCTAAGTGGATGGCATTTTGAAAATAAGCACTAAGAAATATAAGGCATTTTATTAAGATGATTCCTATCAGTCTTATTTTTCAAATTCATGATTTTACCAAATAAAGTTAATTGCTTTTTGCCAAATAAAGGATGATATTCTACCAAGTATCAGCCATAAATAATGTTTTAAAATACATCTATGCTTTTCTTTGCATTTTCTTTTACTCCTCTACGGAATGTGTTCTAGTCACAGAATGAAAATTTGGTGTCATAAAGTTATAGGCTTTGGTTTATAGAGACTTGCAGAAGTTTTTCCATCTTTCTGGTATTTTATTCCTGTCAGTTTGCATTGCTTCTTTCCTTTCCTTCTCCTTCTCCGCCAGGTTTGGTTTTGAGCTTTGGATTCAAAGAAACCCCAAAGTCAAAACAAAATGGTCAGAACTGCTGACTCTTGTTTTGTAACCTTTTTTTAGGCCAGTATTCACAGGAAGAGATGGTGCTGACCAGAACTTGGGCCTAACTTCACCCAAAATGTTGGCAAAGTTCAGAAATCTTTGAGTGAATTTAAGCCAAGCTATAAGATATATAGCAAAACTTCACCACTTATTGAAAAACATTTTAAACACAATTTAATGAATAATACCAATCTGTAAGAAGTCAGCTTAGTATTTAATATTCAATATTTATCTACTAGTTCTTTTTAATGAAAACAAAATAATGATCTAATTTAATGATTGTATTAAATGAATCTTCTTGTTTTTAAAGTTACAGGTACATTTTGGAACTGTAAAATGTATTTATGGCTTCGTTCTGTTTGAAGATTCTTTTAAAGATTTGTAATCAAGAAGAAAATATATTCTAAAATTTTGCTCACCAAGATTCATCTCACAATTTTGATAACTATGTCATAATTCCACAAGAGTGTTTTATAATGGGAATGCTGACAAGTGTGATAATGAACACCAACCTACAGGCCTTAATTGTATGTTCATTCAGGAATCATACATACTAGCAGAATATTTGGCTGAACCTCCAACACTAATTTTTCCCAGATCTGCTTTCAAATTGGGCAACTAACTGTAGAAGATAATCAGTCTGAGTGACTCCCTGTTAATGAAAAAGCTTCTGATATATTTTGCTTTCTTTGAAAAGTTTAATTATACCTTTCAAATATGATTTCATTTATATCTTCTCATGGTTTGCATGTCTGAATACTAATAGTAACCTGAGAGTTATGTGGAACTTAGTTTGAAACCAAAAGGCAGTTTTTAGTGAAATAGAGAGAGAAAATGGGAGAGAGAGAGAGAGAGAGAGAGAGAGAGAGAATAAATTGCCTCCAAGCAACATCTAAAAATGTAGATTCTAAATGTTCAAGTAACTTTGAGATTTCAAGAATCAATTATCATAATCTTTTAAAGTAACTGACACCATTAGGATTAAAAAATGGTAGAAATTATTAAAAAGTCAATGTATACTGATGTTTCCATCAATATTGACTAAAATAATTATAAAGAGTAAACCAACAACCAATTTTAACTTAGCATGTGCTGTATTATAAAAAAAGGTTTTTATTACAAAGTACACTGATTACATGGACCTAACATGGGGAGAACTAAAACAAAACACTAGTTACAAAAGTTGTGTGAAAATATGGTGGTGCATCAGATTTAATGTTGGGATGTGGATCATTTCATTCTATTTCTATTGATGATTTGGTGTAAATAATAAAAATCAATTAATTTCTCTGTGTTTCTGATCCTTACTAGGCTTCAAATCATTTTAGTGGTAGAATGATTATGATAATGACTTAAAAGACATCACATTCTGGGACATGTAAAAACTTACAAAAAGCAAAGAATTTGTAAAAATCTAACAGTTATAAGAACAGTGAATGTAATTTTTTTTAATGACAACAAAGATAATAGAGTAATAGCTTTCCATTTAGAAATTCATTAGATATTATTTACTATGCTGAAGAGGCATTCACTATAGGAATATTATGTGCTTACTCAGATCATAACAGTAAGATGAAATATGAGGAAGAGGAATAAGGAAAATGAATGGCTGTATTTACTTTTCGGGACCCAGTGATGCTTGGTCCCTTGTCTACCTAGTTCTGTGTTATTTCTGATTTTCAAGACTGGTTCTTCCAACAAAATGTTAAGGACTCCAAGAATTGAATCCCCATATCTTTTTACTTATTCAACATTTGCAGATATTCAAAAAATGATGCTTAATTTCCAGAAGAACTTGAAGGAAGGCTTTTTCAATTTTGAAACCATCCACACTATCTATAAAAAGTCAACACTTGATTGAACGAATAGACAACTGGGTAAATTAATGTGGGGTTTTGATGGAGCCACTAGAGATTATGAGGAAATAACTATTTTTGTTTCATGTATCAATATGAGTAATTTTAAATGTATCTTAAAAGATACGAATATAATCATCTAGGTAACTAAAACGTTGTCTAGAGAAAGAAGAGGATAACAAATAATTTTACTTCATAAAACAGATAAATAGGTCATTTTCCAAATCTCAGTTTATCTTAATGAAAGTGCTAGAGATAGAGAATTAGAAAATAATTAATTTCCTGGTTTTGTTATTGTTTGGTTAATTTAGTGTTTATATTTTTTTCTCTTACCTGTTTGTTCCGATATGTTTATAGCAGAGGTGGAAAGAATCCTAGTGGAAAGAGAGAGTTGAAAAAAAAAGGGGGGGGTGAAAGGGCTCATTTCAGAACTAATCCAGTTCCCATGTAAAGGAGAACTGGGAAAAGTTTCAAGGGCTCTAAGTATTGACAAAGTGGTTGGGGGACAGGACAAATCCTTGTTGTGCTAGTGGGATGGAGTGTGAACTGGCAAAAGCAAATCTGGCCATTTGTGTTCACAAACCTATACGTTCATTTTACCCAGAGATTTCAGCTCTAGGAATCTAATATTAGAAAATTATAAAGAAGAAGCATTTATAGGAACGCTTTTTGTGGCATAATGTACTTTTTGAAAGGAAATGTCTTCCATACCCAACTGTAACCAACTGTAAAGGATTTGGATTAAGTTGTGATACATCCACATGACAATAAAATACAGTAATCAAAATCATTTTTGAATAATAAAGTCAAGGGGAAAGTGTTCATTCTATAATGCCAGGTGAAAATAAAGTCAGTATCCAAAATTTGTTAAATGCATTGAATCTATAAGTACATTGGAAGGGGGGGGGGCAAAGGGGAGGGGGAAGGCCGGAGGAGGGAGGGAGAGAGACACTGACAGAAAACAGATGAAAATACTAACAGTGTTTTAGTGTGGGGTGATTCAAATTTTCTTTTTTGAACTTTTGTTTCACAAACTTTCCAGAACACGTATTATGTTGCAGCTTCATAACACGAATTCTATTATATGAAGCATCTTAAAAGTGTGATAGAGAATTGTCTATGTGTGCTTCCACACCTGAATATGCCTATGCACAATGAAAGGCAAAAAGAAGTGCTAGAATAACCATTGGGGGGTTTATTCTTTAGGAGCAGTGAATTTACAGTTAACCCGGCATCATTGCTCCAGTTCCTCTCTTCACTTAACCTCTCCTTTCTTAAAACCCCCAGTTCAGGTGCTAGCAAATCACAAAGAAGGAATTGTGGAGTGACAAAGGGTTCAACTGGAGGCGCCTCTCAGCAGTGAACCTTCTTCAACCTCTTTTCCATCGCAAGCATTTTGCAGTGTCAAAATGTATCTCCTCCTTTAACTATTCGCCTCCCTGGATACCCTTAAAATGAAAGCAATCCCCTTTCCAGACAGCTGAAGATTTTTAAACTCGTTGGGGCATCGTAGCTCCTAGAAAGACCCAGGCCCCTTGAGTGCAGCGAAAGTTGGAAGCGCAAGGGCGGTTAGGGCGTGGGCGCGCTCAGGGCCTCCTACAGGTCTGGCAGAGTCCCGAGCTTTAGGGCCAGAAGTACCGCCAGCCCACCTCTCTCAAGCAGGGCCGGAAGTGTCATAAAGAAGGTTATTGTTTCTGCCAACGCGGCGATTTGTACGCGAGCTAAGGCGCAGCGTAAATGCCACTGTGATCTGGCTACGTGCTGCCTTGCTACGAGCTAAGGTCTCTCTGGGAATATCAGAATGGCAGCTCATCGCGGATCACCCAAATCAGGTGGAGACGGGAGGGAGAAGGGCGAATGAAGAGAGAGGAGAGAGGAGAGAGAATGATTCTTTCTCAGAGGTTGGTGCACTTGTTGCACGTTGTCCACCCCATGGGAGGTCGAGAGCCCCTTGACTAATCAGAAAACTCAGCACCATCGCACCCCTAGTGGTTCTGTGCCCACCAGCACAAGCCAGACAGGACCTCCTGTAGGGGATGGTTCAGTCCCGACTCTTGAGTCTTAAAAAAAAATTTAAAAAAAAAATAAAAAGTGAGATTTTTTTAATTTCTATTAAAAAAAAAAGAAGGAGGAAAGATTGTACTCCATAGAAGCTCTGAACTCTGTCGTTGAGAAGATGAACTTTCCACCCACTCAGCCCTCAGAAGATGCTGAGTTTGAGCCTCACACAGTCCAGACTCCTAGTTAACAGCCCTCTGGCCCCTAATCTCCATTCCTTTGAGGGCGACCGCATATATATTAACTCTACAGCTGCCACACTTCCCGAGGGCTGTGGGGATTTTACAATACTGAAACCCGATCTTCGGAAGGTCAGCCGTTCTGTCTTGGGGCGTCCCTACTTGCCTTTCAGCGACACTCACTGCTGGGTCCTGAAACACCCCAGACCCACGCGCGCTCAGGCGAGGAGGGGGCTGATGACCCCCATCCCACCCGGCTCAGCCGGTTTCCTTCTTCTCGCAGCTCTCCAAGAGCTCAGTCATGAAGGAGATGTAGACGATGGCCAGGCGTAGGGTCTCGATCCGAGACAGCCTCTTCTCGTAAGCAAAAGTGGGCACCTTCCTCCGCAGCTGGTCAAAGGCTTCGTTGAGGTTGAACATCCGCTTTCTCTCGCGGATGTTGGCGGCCTGGCGCTGGGCATAGGTGATCACCCTTTTCCTCTTGGGGCGGCCTAGTACCGAGGGTCCTCTCCCGCGTCCCTCCTCTTCCTCCTCCTCTTCGTCCCCATCCCCTTCATCTACTTCGCAATCCTCTTCTTCCGGGGTCCCCTCCTCAAACTGCGCCAGCCTCCTGGGCCTTCCCTCTCGGAGCTCAAGGGCCGGGTCCCCAAAGGGGACGCCGGGCGAAAAGTCGCAAAGGAGAGGGTGTCTCGGGGAGGCCAGGGACAGGTCTGCGACGAAGTCCAGCACAGTGGCGTCCACGCAGCTCTCGGGATAGGCCGCCATCGCTTCAACTTGGCCCTGCGTCTCATCGATTTTTCGCAGGGAGGGGCGAAGCTGCGGATGGGGCTTCTTAACAGCCTTGGGTCTGATGGAACACCATCACCGGCTGGCTGGGGGACATTAATATTTATTACCAAGCTGATAACAGAATTAGTCGCCCCGATTGGGAAGACTCTGACAACGTCCCTCCTCTGGAAGCTGATGAAGGAAGACAAGCCTGAGTACGCCTGCGGGGCGCAGAAGGAAAGGCCTCCACTTCTCAGATCTTTTCGCTGCGCCACGCGGACAGTTCCTTCTTGGCAACAACCCCCAAGTTCTTACCTGCTGTGTGCTTTTTGTGTCTCTCTTCACCCCCGCAGCCAACTAATGTTCCCCAGGCTCCTTATCTCGTGTAGTTCTTTAATTTCGATTTGGATTTTCAAAGCCAAGGTATTTTCCAGCGCGATGGTTTCTCCTTGGCGTCAGGGTAGAAGTCCTGAATCTTGCCACCATCTGCCAATGGATGTGAAGCAAGTGCATGTGCTTTTAATGATGTCCTGAAGAGGGGCCCTTCCTGCCAGGGGTCGAGGGGAGCTGTTTGTCTGGTATCCCAGTGCAGCGGCTGCTGAAAGGCAAGACCTTCCATTAGCTTAAGTAAGCATGGCAGGGGGGCCTAAAGCACATTCCCCAGAGTCGCTGTTGGAACCGGCTTTCTTTTTTTTTTTTTTTTCCTTCTAGGGCATCTCAAACAACTCTGCTGCGTGGTTACAAACCCTGACTTCTAATGTCTGTGTGTAGCAATCAGCCTAACAATTGAGATACTTGACTTTCCTTTCCTTACCCTCATCTTCCACTCACGTGGAGATTTTATTACAGGGAAAAAGTTATCATGACAACAAAATGAAAAATGATAGTTCACAAATTTTTCTCTAGTCGGGCTGTATAATTGTCAGCCTTGGGGACAAAGCAAACCCTCCGCCACCCTCCACTCCCCCAACAAAACTACTTCAATCTCCTTTCAAAAGTACGATTTATCCTTGGTTAAGCCAAAGGGTAGATCAGCTCACCCCTCTGCTGAGGAGTCTTTGGACTTTTAAATTGCTGATCAAGTATTTACTTGTGAACAAAGAAAAATCCTGACACTTTCATTGGGCTTATTTTCATCAATTTGTTTGGTTCAGTCTACAGTAGGTTTTAAGAGTGGAAACTATACCTTAGTGAATTTATTGGCTGTCTTTAGATTTTTTTGAGAAAAATTTGAATTTAGTATGATTAAAATAAAAATTTACTAGTTTCATAAAATCCCTAATTTTAACAAAGAAAGGATTTCCCCCCTTCTTTGTTTGCCAATAGCTATAGTTAATTATTCATTGTAAACATATTTAAAAAGCCAAGCGGAACAGACCAACACTTTGGAAAATAATATCAAAGGTGAATTAGAAGAAATAGCTTGAATCCTGATTACAGAAGCACCCTAGTTTCAGAAAGAACCAATGAGGACAGCAGCCCCTATTAAGGGGGTAAATTGTGGCTATGAAGTTCACTCAGTACATTGGACAGCTCCCAGAAACCTTCCCTTTCTAACAAGTAAGCACAATTCTTTTCCTTCTTTCTAGTCTCCCAGAGGGTAATCAAAGCAAGAATTTCTGGTGTGTTGTTGCACAGTAGAGTGACTATACATAATTATAATGCACTGTACATTTCAAAAATCTAGAAGAAAATATTTTGAAATTTTGTACCATAAAGAAATGACAAATGTTTCAGAAGATAATGTGTTTAACCCGATTTAAACATTGTACAATATGAGCTGAAACATGAATCATACTTCATTAATATGAACATTTTTTGTGTTTCTCTGTACCAGTTAAAATAAATTTAATTTAAAAAAATGCAATATGACCTTGAATCTTTCTTCAGTTGTAAACTGTTGATTAGGGTTTTTGCTTTATCTTTGTCCTTTAGTAGATTTTCTCTTCTGCTTGTGTTTACTCTTCATTATCCAATTTATTTTGTGGTTACACAGACAAAAAAGAAGTGAAAATTTTCTCCTTCAAAGATGTTAATGAAACAGAAATCTTTGTGATGATCACCTATTTGATTTTTATTAAATTTCTTGCAAAGGGAAAATTGAAAAATAAAAATGGTTAATGAAACAGTAATTAAGGAACCAGTAAGTAGGAGAATCTATTTTTGTTTTGAAAAGCAGTAATATGATGATTTCTGGTCCCTGTTTAACTGTGTTATTAAATATGTGGACAAATTTTGAAATTTTTTTATCATGTTAAGTGTTTCTCCATGATTTATTTTTACTTTATTTATATAAGTGGATATATACTTGAGTCAGGTGAGAATCCAGTTCTGCAATAAAATATATTAGGACACTTAATGAAGGAAAATATACTAGACACTTAAATGTAAAGTTTAATAAAATAGGGATCAGAAGCTGTAATGAGACTCTAAGAAGACAATTTTTTTCCACTAAAATAACTTATGATTTTAGTAAAGGGAATGAATATTTTAACTATAACAAAATTAATAAAATCAGCACTCAAGCTTTGTTGAAATACTAGTATTAAAGTATTAGAAATGTTGAAAAACATGTCTTAATAAGTATACTTGTAACAATTATTTAAAACTTTAAATTAAAAAAACCCAAGAAAAACACTTAAGTTCATGCTATGGTAATTTGTTTATATTATGAGGATCTTTCTAATAATGCCATAATTAGAGCAAAAATGTCATAAATCTGTTATGATAATGAATATTTTCATTTCTAATCATAAATTACAGGAATAAACAAAATAATTTTTCTCTGCTTAGTTAGGATCATACACTTTATTTTATTTATTTATTTATTTATTTTTTTATTATTGATTGTTCAAAACATTACAGAGCTCATGATATATCATCTTTCATACATTTGACTCAATTGGGTTTTGAACTCCCATTTTTACCCCAAATACAGATCATACACTTTATTTTAAAAAAGCTCTTTGCATTTGTTTTCACAGTAAACATACATAGTACATGCAGTAATTTATAAAATGCTAAGTGATTCAAAGCAGTTGATTCTATTAAAAGAAATCATTATTTTCATTTATAGATTTGAAAATTAAGAGAGACACAATTTTTAAAAACCCAGTTAGGAATTAAAAGAAGCTAAATTTAAACTTAATTCCTCTGGGTTCTAGGCCTATAGTTTATAATTATTCAGTGGCCTATATACAGATTTTCAGAGAGTCTGATAAGTTCTCCACAATTTTTTTCTCAATATATATCAGAAAATAATCAGAAAATGACAACTGTGATATTCATGTTTTTCTTTTCTTTTTTCCCTTTCTTTGTGTGTCTGTGGTGGGGTGGAGGGGTTACTAGGGATCAAACCCACTACCTGGTACATGCTAGGCAGCCATTGAGCTATATCCAGCCTTTTAATTTTTATTTTGAAACTGAGTCTTGTTAAGTTGCCTAAACTGGCCCTAAACTAATTCATGTTTTTCCTGCCTAAATCTCCCAAGAAGTCAGGTTTAGCGGCATGTGCCACCACACTTGTTATAATGTTCAGTTTTGTTTATTTGATGATTAATTTTTCTCTATTGGTCAACTCCATTAAACATTTTGTGTATACTAGTATCTTAAATTTAGAATTGAAGCAAAAAAAAAAAGGCAAGTGACAATGAATATTTGAGCAATAATTCTCAAGGGGACTGGAGAGGGGCTGGGCACGGTGGCACATGCATGTAATCCCAGAGGCTCAAGAGGCTGAGACAGGAGGATCATGAGTTAAAAGCCAGTCACAGCAACAGTGAGACACTAAGCAACTCAGTGAGACCCTGTCTCTAAACAAAATACAAAATAGGGCTGAGGATGTGGCTCAGTGGTTGAGCGCCCCTAAGTTTGATTCATGGTACCAAAAAAAACAAAACAAAACAACAACAAAAAAAAAAACTTTTTTTCAATGAGTAAAGTAAATCTCTAATTCTCCCAAATTTGTTAAAGCTCTCCCTTCCCCTCCCCTTTTCATACTCCTTCCCTTATGCTTTCAGAATCATTATATATTTTTAACTTTTCCTTTTTTATTTGTTCTTTTTAGATATACATGAGAGTGGAGTGTATTTTGACATATTGTACATACATGGAGTATAACTTATATCTAATAGGATACTATACTTGTGGTTGTATATGATGTGGAATTTCACCAGTGGTATTTTCATATGTGAACATAGAAAAGTTATGTCTGATTCATTCTACCATCTTTCCTATTTTTATCCCTCCTTGTTGAGAGCCACAGCCAAAGGGGCCCCAGCAAACTTCCAGCTGCCCGCTGATGATCCAGCTGTCAGCAAACTTCCAGTTGCCGGCTGATGATTGGCTCACAGTGGCCCCAGCAACATCTAGCTGATTGGCTCCTCTGTGGTGATGTTCATTGGGCTGTTTCCCTGCCCTTCAGACTGCCAGCTGATGATTGGCTCACAGCGGCCCCAGCAACATCTAGCTGATTGGCTCCTCCACGGAGCTGCTCATTGGGTGACTTCTTTGGCTCTGCCCATGCAACCCAGCCAATCGGCCTCAAGAGCAGGAGGATTGTGGGAGGTTGAGAGGCTGGTGTGGGGGAGAGAGGCTTGTGGAAGCCGGTGGTGGCAGTTGGGCTCTGAGGGTTTTTCCCTGGAGCTGTTTTGTTTGGCGTTTGTAGTTCTAAAAATAAAGTTAGTTTCTTTTTGACAAGTGGCTCCTGATTTGTGCCAAGCCAGACTTCGGCACCTCCTCCCCTTCCTTAATTGCCCTTTGTCTAATCCATTGAACTTCTAATCTCACCCCTGCCCATCTTATTATGTGTTAGCTTCGAATATCAGAGAGAACATTTGAACTTTGGTTTTGGGGGAATTAGCTTATTTCACTTAGCATGACAGTCTCCAGATACATCCATTTATCAGCAAAAGTTATAAAGTCATTGTCATTCTTTTTTTGTGGCTGAGAAATTCATTATATATTTTTAGGACAAATGATTAAAAAATGATGTAGGTAGGTATTTAAGATCTTTGCAGGGAAAATGGCTTAAGAAGTATTCAGCTGGCAGAGA